AGGCAAACAGAAAAAGAATGCTCAATGAACAGTTTTGGAAGACGCTCGTTTGTTTGAGTAAATAGAAGCACGTCGAAATAATAATCGCCATTTAGTGCAGAGAAATAGTTAGACAGACAGATAGACATAATCAACATAGGGAAAGAAAAGAAGTAGAACCTAACAGCGGCGCCCAACAGAGGGAAAGAAAAGAAGTAGAACCGAAATGCGGCACGCTCCAACCATCCGCAGAAGACACGTCAAGTGACCGATGTTATACCTATTGATTTAGTAAGAGTTTGACGGCACTGGCAACAAAATAAGGTCATATAAGTGCCAAAGGTTAGAGGTGTTAAAAGAGAGTAACAAACACAAAACAGTAGGGGAGATGAGGATGGTAGATGTTCGATCACAGGAAACAAGGAGCAAACCACACCAGAGTTTCCGCCAACCACCCACGACGATGCCATCTCTGAAAAGAATCTTATGGGTCATGTAAAGATACCGATGAACGATTCTGGGCTCCTGGTACAAACCAGACCTGATCAGACGTCGTTCATCAGCTGGGGACAGATTGTCTACATGAGAGAAGGAAAACGGATTAAAAGCCCGGTCAAAAGGCTCATCAGCCTTGTTAGGCAACCAATCTAGCCATAGAACCAGCATGACGGAGGACAGACGATAGTATCCTGCATGAGACGAACTGGTTATCTGCGGCGTACCTCAGACAAATTTAAAGTTTAGTCAACACTAGGGAGGGGGGGTGTAGGGAAGGGGGGCATTTAGGTTCCCTGCTCGCCACAGAACAGAATGTAAGTAAAGCAGAGTTGGTTAGACGGTTTTTTAATAGGTGGTCACTGGGCAAGGTCGTGGTGCAAGACTCCATTACCGTGGCGAAAAACTCCAGGGTGTCAGAGAACGTTTTAGAAATGACCGCGTTCTTTTTGGCAGGTAAGGGGTTGGAGTGGGGTCGAGATAATCGTGTAATTCTCGAAAGCGGTAAAAGTAAACTCCTAGTGTACTGAGAGATTAGGTGTGTGTGTGTGTGGGGGGGGGGGGTAATTATGGCCATGATGAGTATGGAGAGGTCATGCTCTTCTGAGGAGTGTGAGTATAGAGGGGGGAGGGGGGTGATAGTGGCATGTAATTATTGGATTGGTGGTGGGAGTTTTTCGGGGGGTGGGGTCATGTCAGTGTGGGAAGATCATGTCCTTTTGAGGAAATGTGTAATTTGAAAGAAATGATTGGGGGAAGAGGGGGAGGGGGTATCACGTTATCATGGAAGTAGATACTTTTTTTTTTTTAGGGATAATTTTTTTTTAGGGGGGGGGTGTCGTGGGTAGGGCTTAAGTGAACACAATTGGGGGGGGGGGGGCATATCGGCTGAGGTTTTTGTTTTAGTTACAGAGGATGGACACCCATGCAATAACTGAGGCGCGTATACCATCTTCATAAATAGACCATTGGAAATGGTGGAGGTATTTTACACTTCCATCAATACAATTTAATTCGTTTACAAGGCAAGCTGCGACCCTGTCTGCCAGGGCCAACGCGGGCTAAGAAAGGGCTACAGCGTCCCAGCAAAAAGACCGAAATACTCGATCAAAATTCTCCCCACATGGGAACCGAAGTCAGATCTTTTGCGTGCGATGGCGAAGCGTCCGCCTAATCGCTACATCACAGACACCGTTTGAACCAAAATTATAACGCGTAGCTCACATTCGTACATCGCAGCAAAATGACTGGAAAATAAGTCAGCTGAGACTTCGTTTAAAAAAACTGATCTGGAATGTCCCAAAAAGTACGTGTCACGGGTCTTCAAAACACGATGTTTGGGTCAAAAATTCAATTTTTAACTTTGTCCATTTTTGGGTACCTGAACATCTAAAGAATCGATATCGCTTGATGTTTCATTCTAAAAAAAGACAAGAATTCACCGTTAGATGCGTTTTCCGGAGGGCACCCTTCTCAAAAGTAGGCGAGTTTTCTTCATATTAGCAGCCCATAATTGGAAGGTGACAACAGCCATGCGTCTCCGTGTCACCCAAACATGTTTAGTATCGTTGTGCTCCCAAGCTTTTCTTCTTTCAAGACAATAAACGATCAAGACTATCCAGACCTGTGTATTTCTGGCAGTTGAGCACATATTATAGTTTTTTCAGATCAATTAATGTACACATAAGAAATACAAATGCCACATAGCAAGTTCAAATGCAACATTGTAAGCTTCACGCCACATAAAAAGTTCAAATGTACATTAGGAAATTTTAGTGCACAATCATGCGTAACAAATTCAAATGTGCAAATAGCAAATCCAAATGTAACACAATAGCAAGTTCAAATGCCACATAGCAAAAGCAAATATCCTCCACAAAGATTATTCAGCGTGAAAAGCATTTTAATGTGCTCAAACTGAGTTGACGACAACCATAAGCAGTTTAATTTTAAGGTGAATTGATCACCATTTTAAAGAAATCCCGAGGATGCTCCCGCGGAAAGAAATTCAGATAGGACTGAAGCAGCTAGACATCAATATGCAGCATGGCTGATGTAGAACATGTAGCGGTATAAATTTGTCTTTATTGAGGAAGCTGGTAGCAAGCCGTTGACGAATAGAAACCGATAAAGAGCACGGAGTGGTCAATGCTTTGTTCGAGTAATGCAGGGTCAAAGGGGACCGAACCGCACGATGCCATAGGGGCCTATCTGCTGTCAGTGACGAGGGTGGCATAGCGTTTTGTAGTGCAACGGTAAGTAAATAAAAGTAAACTTGGCTTTGATTTCACTCAGTTAGTTCTCAAATATACATGTACTAGCAGTGTGTTGATTTTGTATCATAACCAATCGTTTTTGTTTAAACATGTGAGTTTATTTTCGGTTTTTAACATAATTTAACTACATGTATTACTTTCGTTTCTCATGATTTCTTCCTTGTGGAACAACATGGCTTACGCCAAACCTTTTCGTGGTAAAAAAACCTAAACCCTTTTACTTCTTACCTTAATATACTTCTTATACTTTTAGCCTCCTTTTTAGTTTTAGTAAGAGTTTTACGGCACTTGCAACACAATAAGGTCATATAAGTGTCGAAGATTAGAGGTGTTACAAGAGAGTAACAGACACAAAAAAGGAAGAGAGATCAGTATGATAGATATTAGATAGGAAAGAAGGAGCAAACCACACCAGAGCACCTGCCAACCACCCACTTAGCCTCCTTTTACTCTAGTTCAAGCATAATTACATTTGAACTTGCAATGTGGCATTTGAATTAGCTGTGTGTTACATTTGAGATTTCTATGTTTACATTTGAACTTGCTACTGTTGTACTAGGACTTTTTATGACGTCATTTGTATATTTGGATTTGCTAGGTGTAATTTGGTCTTTCTATGCGGTCTTTGAATTTGTTATGTGTATATTTGAACTGAAAAAACTATATATTATTATGCAAGACACAGGGCTCCTCTTTTTGTACATTTTTGGGTTGTGTTGGACAAAACGAAACCCCGTTGCTGAAAATAATACAATACGACGTCAACACTCGGTTGTAAAATGCCGCACGGTATGGTCTCAAACAGTACTTTACGACCACCGTCGTTTCTTCTTTCGATTAAAGAGCCGTTTGGATTACTGCTACAGATGAAACCGTCGGATTCGCTTTTGTATTTGACAAAGACATAATTTTGTTTCTGATGCCTCTTTTTTAGTAGGCTACAGAGCAGGTAAATCTAATTCTAAGCAAAGTTTCCTTTTTTGAATGTGCATGTATTGTACGATCTAAGAAGTGGACATCAGGGTGGGCACAGCCGATCAACCAAGAGTGAAAAGTTAAGATCATTGAACTGCCTGTCGCGTCAAAGATCAGCCACTTTCGTGAAAGTGATCACATGAGCATTGTAAAACTTGATGAAACGGTACAATGTTTGCCCTAGACGTGATCACACCGAAACGTGCGAACACGGAATGCGTGGGTTGCAGTAGGACTCATTGGTCCGAACTGGTTCATGGTTGAAGACTATGGTATAGCAACAGTGGTAGCAGATTGTTATCAGAAGAAATCACCAGCAAGTAAAGTTCAATGCCTACAAGAATGAACAAAAAACTCGATGAAAGTATTTGAAAGTCGTGTTTAGTTTAGTTTTAGCAAGACTGTTGCGGCACTAGCAACACGAATAGGTCATATAAGTGCCAAATTTTATTAGAGACTAATAATACTAGTGTATACAAAGAAAAGAAGGAGAAGAGATAAAGATGATACATGTTAGATATGAAAGAAGGCGCAAACCAAACAAGAGCACCCGCCAACCACACATTGAAAGTTGTGCAATTCATAATTCATGAGTATTGCCGAATTTGTACAAAAGACGAGTGGCCACGCAGGTTTCAGTAAGAAAAGGAAAATATTATATATGTACCGAAAAGGAGCAGAAGGAGAAAACCACGCCAGAGCAACACCTTTCACTGCACCAGAAGCGAATTACTACGCTGTAGTCCAAGTTTGCAGCTTTTAAATACGACAATGGCTACACTTCGCCAAGAACTGATTAGGATGACCATACGAGAGTAACACTGAAGAAATAGAATTAACAAAATTTACAAGAACGCAGACCATCTATCAGTGCCACGCGGTACAATTTTATTTACGGGTACAATAAAATGACACAGACAAAACAAAACTGAGACAGTCAACTCCTGAAAGAATGAGAAAAGGCATCAATAAGGAAGTGGACACTTTACAGGACGTCACTGCAAATTCTACGGCAATGCTAGTGTTTAAATGTTTTCTATTTTAGTAAGAGTGTCACAGCACTTGCAAAACAAATACCTGTATTTCATCTAAGTGCCGAAGATTACAGGTGTTACGAGAGAGAGTAACAAACACAAAAAAGGAGGAGGAGAGATAAGGACGACAGATGTTTCAGAGAAAAATAGGAACAAACCCCACCAGAGCACCCGTCTACCACCCACTGCAAATTACAAATGTAATACTATGCCACACGAGCTGGACAGACTCACGACTTACCTGAGACGGCAGCGAGCGCGAGCATCGACAGCAGAAGCAGGCACACGAGGCGAGAGCCGGACCCCATGACTGACCAGGAGCAACACCGACGGCAGCGATGAAAGAGGGCCGATGCGGACGATCACCAGCTGGACAACTGACTGCAGGCTGCAGGCAAGCACCCGACCCGGGGAGAACAGACAAAGTCTCTCACTCGAGTCCAGGTGTCTGACGTCAGAACAAACAGGCTCACTCCCAACCGCCGACGACAACAATGCACGGCAACAACTTACTGTAGGAGATCTATGCTAAAGGAGACTTAGGAGACTTTCGGACACAGAACGAGAAAGGATCTGTGCCGGTGGAGGGGGAAAAGAAAAGAAAACTTTCTATCTAAAGTTGTAAGACGAGATTGAGTCTTTGAGTCCGGGTGTAAGAAAGAAAGTCTCGGGGAGAGTTAAGAGACGAGTGAGTGAGTGAGCGCCGTCCGGAGAGAAACGATGTTGCGCGCGTGCGTACTGCGAGTCTCCGTTACCCTGGCACCGGCCGAGCGTGGATTTATAAGCCCTCGGATTACGAGTGGGAGGTCTCTCTTTCTCTCTCTCTCCCTCCTCGTCCCTCCTGCCCTACCCTAGGCTGGCCCACCCGCTCAAATTGCGCACGCACTTTCCTCCACCCCACACTCACTCTCACTACCCATCTCCGCCTCCCCGTCATTGAGTAACGTATTTATTGGCCTATGCATTAAAATTAGATCAAAATAATGTTCATACTGTATTGCTCAAGTCAAATTATGTAATTACTGATGATACCCCGTCTCCCCCCCAAAAAAATGTTTTTAAAATAGATAAATAATATCTTTTGAAAAGATATAATAATATATAAAAGTAAAACCTATATAAAAATAATATAAGTAAAATAAAATATTTAGTTCAGTTTAATTTTAGTTTTAGCGCGAATTTTACGGCGCTTGCAACGCAAATAGATCATATAAGTGCTGCTACTAGAGAGTTACATACACATAAAAAAAGGACAGATAAGAACGATAGATTTGAAAGGAAAGAAGGAGTACACCAGAGTACCCACAAACCATCGAGATACAAAATACAGAAAATATATTTTAAAATGTTACATGTAGGCGTTTTAACCCCTCCATCAACACACTTTGGATCATTTAGGAGGCAGGCTTCTGACCCTGCCTGTCAGTACCAACCCGGGCTCAGAGGGATATAGACCTACCATCCCAACAAAAAGACTGAGATACTCGATACATTTATAAAAATTTTCTCCTCACTCGGGAATCGAATTCGGGTCTCCTGCGTGCAACATCGATTCGAAGCGCCTTACCGCTACACCACAGACACCGGAAACATATATCTTTTAAACAAAACAAAAACAAGAGGCAAAAACAACAAAGTAACAGAACAAAAACAAGACAAAACAACACCTCCCCACTCCCTCCCCCGAATAAAAAAAGTAAGCCCTCCCTGTGCTGTTATCGCCAGCGACACAGAAAAACAAAACAACACAGCGTCAGCAGGCTGAAGTAAAGAGAAGCATATCGACAAAATAGTGGTCATTTAGTGATGGGGAGAAGCGAGACATACATACAAACAGAAACAAAAGAGGGAAATTAAAAATGTAAGACCTACAGCAGTAACGCCCTCCAACTACCACAACTGCCTGCCAATACAGAAATGTTCTTTTCGTTATTGTTTTTTTTAGCGTAGGTATTTTACCCCCCCCCCCCCCCTTTCCCAACCAAATCGACATAAATTAGATCACTGCCAATATAGCACGAATGTAATAACAACAATATTTAACCAGTAACTTTACCACAATATCTCATGGTAACCCCTGAGGTGCCTATGGCGTCGCGTCATTTCCACTCACACAAGCGCGACCGTGGGAATCGGCATGCATAACTTGATTAGCAACCCGAGAATGAAAGTAAGACCAAAATAAAAAACACCGGTCAAGCAGTTGGTTAACCCTCTCACTACCAGGACACCTGTATAATAATAATAATAATAATAATAATAATAATAATAATAATAATAATAATAATAATGATAATAATAATAATAATAATAATAATAATAATAATAATAATGATAATAATAATAATAATAATAAAGATGATGATGATGATGATGATGATGATGATGATGATGATGATGATGATGATGATGATGATGATGATGATGATGATGATGATGATGAAGATAAATAAATAAATACATAAATACATAAATAATAGCTCGTCCATCAGTCCTGACGATGCCCAATACATCCGCGGCCGCAGAGGAGAATATTTTGAGGATTTACAGCGCTCGCAATTGCATAAGGTCATATGAGCACTAGAATATTTTTTCAGCGAAACAGATGAGTTATAGGTACATATATTAAAGGTTTAGATGCCTTGTGGCTTCCGCTGTGGTCGATGAGGCCAATTTTGGCAGAGAATTATTAATATTACGAAAAGAGCCTATTACTGTCGCGGGTTAGCTAAAGCAATAAATGGGTTAAAGGGTTCAACGAATCAAATGCTTCCATGAAAGCCCTACCCGAAAGTATGTTACTTTCCCACCCAGGCTCCCAAATTGAGTTTTGGTTTTGGTAAACGTTTTACGGCGCTCGCAACTGAATAAAGATTGAACCTGGTCCTACAAATATTCATGAAACCTCTTTGTGAGGACGTCATGGCAACGTGTGGTGCACGTCATTCAGCGGAAGCAGGAGGGGCCCACATTAAGCCTACACAAAACGAGTCAATGGAAATGAGCACATCGCTTTTTAAAAACGGGGGAAAAAAGAAGCTATGTTTGTGACAGTTGGCAATAAATCACGCCAACACGGCCGTTGCTGGTGAGTTCAAAGGTGGGTTGGGATGAACCATAAAAAAACAACAACAACAACAACAACAACAACCAACCAACCAGCAATCAAAAAGAAAGATACCATACAAGTTTTTTTTCTTTTTTTTCAGTTTGAAGAAAGACAAGAACACGAGCTCTGCATCAGCCGTATAGTGATAAGAAAGACAATCCGTGTGACTTGCCATGTGTGAACACCGACACAAAAGAAAATAATCCTGTTGTTGTTGAAGAACGTGAGGTTAGATGTGTGTTTGGACGTGAGAATGTGAGAAAGGCGTGCAACCCAAAATTCTAAAAATGTGTTCAGCACAACTTAGTTTTATTTACACCTATATTATCAACCAGTCGTTGTTGACACATG